CCTCGTTCTTTCCTTCCCACCCACCAGCCTACCTTTTATCCGCCCCACATCATCAGCTATATTTTTGTATCAACAATGTATAAATGGTGCATAAGGTATAAATGGCATAAAATGGCCTTACAAAAGCATTCATTGACAGCAACAAAAAGAGGAGACACATGGATCACAGTGCCAACGACATCTAAAAGAAGCAATAATGGCCATACTAAGTCACTCCTAAAAATTGTTCAGTCTGCATTTTCAAGCAGCAGCTTCAGTGGCAAATTGTCTTTTCTCTGACTACCCAGAAGAATATATGAATTCATTTCTATTCCTCTGAATAATGCAGTACTTGATGATTGCATCTTCAGGTGGGAATGCCTGGCCAGCTATGCTTCACCAAGGTAATATCCAACGAGAGGCTCGATGGCACAAAAGTTATAAAGGGAAGAGATATTCTGAGAGACACATTCCTCAGTTGTAAACAAATTTGGTTGAGTAATCGAGAATCCTTCCTACTGTGTTGGACCAGCTCCCCAGAGTTTTGCAGCTTTTAGAAATGTGCAGACCTGCACAATGGCATGCAGAAAGTATCCTGTGAGTTGGTATGATGTAACAGTCACTTTATTCCTCTTTCAGGAGCATTTTTGTGAGCTGCCAGGATCATGGAATGTTGCTGTATACAGTCAACATGGTAGATTTCCCCAGCCAGTCACCTGCCTAATAATGACTTCTGTGGAAGAACTGTGTGAAATGGACCTCAGTATAGACCAGATGAAAAAATGACAGTACTCGGTTTTTTAGAAAACGGTGTTCAGATCTAAACTCTAATTGTGGAACTGCATGCCTGAGAATTCTACCAAAGGAAGACTTTGCACTTCTTTTCTGAACACTTTAAAAAGTACTTGTTTCTTGATTTTATTTGTGGCATGGAACTGGACTGGGTTGAAACACATCCGTCCCCATTTTGCTGTCCGCCTTCCAAGAAGGACCCTTCTTTTTCAGTTGGGGGGAGGAATGTAAAAAGGGGAGAACTATCCCTCTGTTAACCCTATCAGCTTTCTTAAATAATATTCTTGCCTTTATTTTGAATTGGGAATTAGCGTCAATGGCAAAGCTAGCGAGAGGTGGGGCAGCAGCAAGAATCTGCTACCAATGTTTATGGAGATAGTCCCTTTAAGACCCCTGGTCTTAAGACTGAGTCAATGACCAGTCCAAATTGTAAAAAAATGGGTTTATTAGGGAGAATTAATACTTTGGATATATACACACAATTCAGAGATCACAAGCATACAGGAAGAAATAAAAGGAGTTAGCAGACAAACAGAGGGGGTTGGGGAAATCAGAATAATACTACACCTATCCTGAAGAGGTGATGAGGTCCAGAGGTTGGAGAAAGGGGGGACCCAAACTGTGGGGTTTGGGGGTGGATCTCTACTGTAGGCTGCCTCAAAGGGACACACCCTCGAGGTCATGTGCTTGGATGGATATAGACATTGGAATACAATGCAGACCAACAGGAGGTCTTGAGGGGCTTGTCTCAGGTGAAGTCAAAAGATTACCTGGACCAATAAGGGGTCCTGAGGGGTGACACCAGGAGGAGCAAAACCTAGGTGTAACCAGTGAGGTTTCAGAGGGGCAGAGTCTGGGTTCACAATAGCATTGATTAAATCAACCAGGTGTGGGATGGCTGGGCTGAGAGTATCCAGTGGATCCCAGGTAAGGAACAAAAGACTAGATATATCTTGATGAGTATCAGTGGTAAAACAATGTCACTTTGGGAATGTGGTGATGAGTTCCCAGGTCTGGACAAAAGGAGCTGGAGGTTTCTTCGACATGCAAAGAGGAAGTTCAGGTTTGGTTCCTGATTGCATCTCCGCTGGTAAAAGGTTACATGCTTGTTCATTTGAACTAATTAAAAAAATACTGCTTGATGAACCGCCTGGTCCTGGTGTGGGGAAAAAGAGTAAAAGTCAAGACTCATCATTGTCAAGGAGATATGAGAAGGGAAGATGAGATTGGATTGATAGGATTAGTGGTGGAGACTGAAAAGAGGTTACTATGGGGCA